TACCTTCAGAACAATCCCAACATAAAAAGAGATGTTAAAGTCTGATTTTGTGATGGCTTTGCTTTCAAATTAAGTTATTATAATCTTTAATTCAAGTGATGAAGAATTTTGAAGGTCTGACAGTAATCAGTGTTGAGTACTACTGTAAGGTTAACCCTGACTGGTTTAAATGTTTCAGAATGATTCACAGTTCAAAACATTCGTTACAAATTTAGGAAAGTAATCAAAATGCAATCAGTTACATTGTAACAAGTAATTTAAATAGTTAGACTACTTATTATATTTTAAATAAGGTAACTTGTAATCTTTAATCTATTACATTTTGAAAGTAACCTTCTCAGCACTGGCTATGGCCATCCTGGAACAGCCAAGATCATCTTGGACAAGCTAATAACCATCTTAGACCAGCTTTGGCCATCCTGGAACAGCTATAACTACCTTGGACCAACTAATATCCATTCTGGAAGAGCTATGGCCAGCTTGGCCCAGCTAGTGACTATCTTGGACCAGCTAATAACCAGTTTAGACCAGCTAGTGACCATTCAAAGCCATGGTCAGTTTGGTACAGCTAGCGACCATCTTGGACCAGCTTGGACTAGCTAATGGCCATTCTGGAAATCCCATGGTCAGCTTGGCCAGTGACCATCTTGGACCAGATAATGACCATTCTGGAACTGCTATAACCAGCCTGGTCCAGCTAGTAACCAGCTTGGACCAGCTAATTGCCTTTCTGGAACAGCTATGCTCAGCTTGGACCAACTACTGACCATCCTGAAACAGCTATGGCCATCTTGGGCCAGCTATAACCAGTTTAGACCAGCTAGTGACCATTCAAAGCCATGGTCAGTTTGGTACAGCTAGTGACCATCTTGGACCATCTTTGACTAGCTAATGGCCATTCTGGAAATCCCATGGTCAGCTTGGCCAGTAACCATCTTGGACCAGATAATGACCATTCTGGAACTGCTATAACCAGCCTGGTCCAGCTAGTAACCATCTTGGACCAGCTATAACCAGTTTAGACCAGCTAGTGACCATTCTGGAAAAGCCATAGTCAGCTTGGTTCAGCTAGTGACCATCTTGGACAAACTATAATGACCATTCTGGAACAGCTATGACCAGCTTGGTCCAGCTACTGACTGTCTTGGACCAACTAATAATTAGTAATGACCATCCTTGAACAGCTATGACCAGCTTCAGCCAACTAGTGACCATCTTGGATAACCAATTTGTATACATTTATGGACTAGTTAATGGTTTGGATCAGCTAATAAACAGGTAGATGGAACTTCCATGTTCCAAAACAACTACCAGTTTCAGCCGGATTTCCCAACAGGGAATAGCATGTTTATTTTATTTCATATTACTTATTATATTATTTAATTATTATTATTGTTGTTATTTATGTCATATCAACCTTGGGGTTTAATAGGCTATATATCAAGTTTTTACTTAATTTGTAAATACAAAAATATTAGCAAGAAATAAAAATAAGGGTAGTTTAATGGAGCTGGGAGATGGAGCAGAGCTAAATAGGGAGCGCGTCCGTCTAGACGTTATTAGGCTACATGGAGGCGCACTTCCGTCCCGCATAATTCGGTTTAGGGGAGCAGGTGCAGTGAAGGGGACTGAAGCGTCACCTCACATAAGGCAATATAGGCCTATTTGATTTACAGTAGCGTTTATTTTATACCTATACGCTGGCTCGGAAGATGGTAGCAAAACAAAGAATCCGTATGGCAAACGAGAAGCACAGCAAAAACATCACTCAGAGGGGGAACGTGGCGAAGACCCTGGTAAGGCTGTCATTTGTCGTCTGTATACATGTAAATGAATGGAGATAGTGGCTTTTCTATGTGGATTTCGTTTTTACGTGCATAATTTGGGGTTATCTTGAGACACACTTCGAGGCCGTCGTCGGTTTTTAACGATGCTGATTTATTCAAACATCATACGAGGCGAGTGTAAGTCTTAATTCTTCACCTAATTCTTTTCGGTATCGGGGATCATCTTAAATGAGGCTTAATTCGCAAGCGACGTAAACGCGCTATTGTTTTACATAGTCACAATCTGCTCAGTAAGCTTTATGAGTCGATGAGAATGATGTAAACCAGATTTAGTTAACGTTGACGCCTATGTTGTTGCCATGGCCACAGTTACGAGCTGCTGACAGATGCACTTAACTAATCTGACCACTGCTGACCCTCCCTGGTAAAGGTGCAGTTTAATTGGGTCACAGCAGCTGCCACAGGCGTCAATGAAATCATTTGCTGTGTTTTTGTTCAAGGGTTAATGCATGATGACGATCCCATGATGAAGAATGTTAATAATAAGGTGTAACGTCCAGAATAAATATGGGCCATTCTACAGAATTGGTTCAAAGTCAGAGTTGGAAACAAAATGTGTCTTTCCCTCAAATTTTGTATGTATGCAAATTGTATAATACATAATTGTGCAGTTAATTCTCATATTGTATTTTCAGAAAGTTTTGGAATATTTTTCCTCTCCCCAAATTCGTCACGACCGAAACGCAATAATATTTAATTTAATAAGAAGAGCAATAGCCTACTGACCTATTAAGAGTTTGTTTACATCTACCTTGTAAATATATGTTTTGCTATTTTATTAAAAAGCTTTTAGCGGTAAATCAAAAACAATTACAATTGTATCAATATTTCAAGTGTGATTTATGAGATTTCTTCTATTTTGAATCCAGTCTTTCTTTGTAAAAGGCATAAAGTTGATCATACTCTTTTCAAAGTTAAGGATCCATTAGTTTGAATATGCATTCAACCAAACACTACCATAACATCTTAGTTGATCATTAATTCAGTATACTTTATTTTTGACAGAACATCCCATGTTTCGGTAGCGACAGTAATGTTTTGGTAGCGACCACATCAAATTACAGAATTTTAAAACACTACTAAAACATACTAAAATACTAAAAATTCGCATAACTGTATTCAAATTTTGTTTATTTCCCCCAAATAAAGGATTATGTGTTGTCACTACCGAAACAATGTAACATGTTTTGGTTGTGACAATTTTATGCAATAACAACCAAAAAAACAAAAACAAAACAATGTCACTACCGAAACTTCATCAAATGTGTACACACACACGCACGCACGCACGCACACACACACACACTGGTTTTTATGGTTTATGGGGTCTCTCCATAGGCGTAATGGTTTTTATACTGTACAAACCGTATTTTCTATCGCCCTACCCTAACCCTACACCTAAACCTACCCCTCACAGGAAACTTTGTGCATTTTTAGATTTTCAAAAAAACTCATTCTGAATGATTTATAAGCCTTTTGAATTACGGGGACACATATAGCAGATCTTGATGCAAAACAACAAAATTAATAAATAAAAAAAATATAGTATTTTGTGTATAGACAAACACATCTCAGGAAAAAGTATTCAGGTGTTTGTTTTCTTTCTGTTATTGTGACACTATGTAGACATTTGTGTCATGTGTAAACAGATTTATCTGTAGACATTCCAGACCATATTTTATGAAATATATTTTGTTTATGAAACACTTTGACTTTCACTGTTCCAGCGACCACAGGAGGAGAAATATCCGGTGGGGCCATGGCTTTTGGCACTCTTCGTATTTGTTGTTTGTGGATCAGGTAATCTTAAATTTGCATTTCATATAATATAGTTTGCTGATTGCTATTAAGCTTCCCCTGTTTTTTTGTATTAATAAACTGAATACGTTTATTTTGCTTGTTTGTTTTCAGCCATCTTTCAGATAATTCAAAGTATCCGAATGGGAATGTGAGTCCCAGCGTTCCTCACGTTCCCTGTCCTACATCTGAATGAGATTTTTGGGTGACTGGATACAATCTGAAGAAAGACTGATAGGTGAAATCCTGTTTGTGGGTCAGAGGCTTGTATGCTGAGCTGGATCTAGTGTACAATACTACATGACATTGTCACACATGTTTACAGTGTCCCTGGAGGAAGGGAGCACATGCTTTTCTACAAAACCATTGTTGTTGTTGACACATCTTATCATTCTTGTCATATTTATTTGTGATTGATGATTGCCATGATCTATTTCTCTATTCAACCGTGTTTGCGTGAGCCTTTTTCAAATAAACGTCAAACACATTTGGATAATGACTCATAACATCTATGTTTTGCTTTTTCAAAACCAATTAAGTTTTTCTTTTTTTTTTTAAATGTGAACTTTGATGAATGTTACAGTAGATGTAAAAATGTAAATCTGTTGTGTAAAATCAGCAGACAGAACACTGTGTAGACAATCCTACTGGAGCGGATAACAACAATCAGAGATCTTTATGAAATTTATGGGTCATCTGGATTTTAATCTGCAACCTTTGTGGAGTCTCTATCCTTGTTCTTTGAACATCAGAGTTTTCTAGCTTTGTAGTCTATAAGAAAACATGGATGGAGTAAAGAAAGCAGTTACTTTAAATTCAATAAATATTTAGATTTTTAAAATCATAGATTCCTATCCATATATAGCCATTATGCATTGTTCAGTTTAAGATTAAATTATGAACGGTACTATGAAGACCAACAAAATAATCCAATTTGATTAACTTTTCATAATAATGCTGTCAAAATGGGCGTGAACTGAAAATTATCCCCATTTTATGATCGAAGAGTGAACGATTCATGCATACAGTACATTCGAGTTTTAATGTCTTCATATATCACTTTAATGTACATGTACTTAATACTTCATGATAATCAGTTACACTCAGATGTATGCCAATATGTAAAAGATCTGTCGATTCGTGTTTTTAAAAAAAAAAGTTATTTTTTATTTTTTTAAGTAAACCGATTTTTCAGGTTGCTACAGATCTAAACTAGAAAAAAAACAGCAACCACAATATGAGAATATGATATAAATACTCACCCGTCTGCATAAACCCTATTCTGACTAGCATTTCTACGGTTTCTCCAGCATCCCGGTCCACCACATAAGCGAAAGCATCTCAAGGACTTTTCTCAACCGTGTTCACAAACATGACTTTATTGAGAGTTGTGAAGTGCAACTGCAGTGCAATTTTAGCATTTTACAACTTATCTCCTGGTTTTGAGAACATGCACAGATAACATAAGTTGTACACAATGCAAATCCATGTCAGCTATATGATAGTGAAGAGTAACTGTAAGTTAAAAGATTGATCGAGAATACTTCACTGTCCAAACTGAAAACAGAAATCACATGGGTGTAATACTTCAAAATCATCTCAAGGGAACGAAGTAGTGTACAGTAGGTGTTAGAGGAGTAGTTTCCATCTGTCAGATAAATATCGAAAGACCGATCCCGCTTAACAGCATAAAAAAAGAAGGATGATGTCTCTTGGGTAAGCCAACTACCTTAAATCTGTACAACCTATATAGTGTCTCTTTAACCGCTTCACATGATATCGCTATTTTACAAAATACTTACACTAATCATACAATAATATACAGCCTGTCCACCTCGCAATTCAGCTCATCCGCCATTCTCACCGCACAGAGAACGAATGAGGATTCGAAGCATCATACCTCCTCGTTTTCTTCATTCAAAAAACAAAGTATCATGATTACACCAATGCAACTGTGGAAGTCAATGCGTCTGCCTTCCCCATGCCAGCTGGGGCACAGATCGGCAGCTCTTCAAAGTCTCATCACATTCGTCACCATAAAAGTGCTAGCTTTATTAGAAGCTCGCGGTCTAAAAAGACCGCCGTCAGCATGTACACTACAAAGGTAAGGGGAGACACTTGACTGAAAACCATTGGGACTTCAGACACAGGCACAGTGATTCTTTATATCGCGTCCTCCAGGACTGTTTTCCTGACGATCACATTCCGTGGATTTTGGCAACGTCCCGCCTCAGCCAACTGGATTGTCACTGGTGTATAAATCACCTCAGTACGACATTTGTCAAGTTTTGAAAGGTGTGCAAATTTGGTCAGTCTAACATGTGAGTGAGGCATGTTTGTTCCTTTGCGTCTCGAGCCACTCATCGCCCTTAACAGGAACTTCTGCTGGGTGCTACGCCGACGGGCCTGAGTTCTGTGCTGCGAGTTGGGCCGGCGGGGCAGGCGGCTGCGCTCCCTGCGTGGACGGCGGCAGCGGCGAGCCGCTCTGGACTTGCACCTGGAACTGTGCGAGCTGCTCCGGACTGGCCAGGTTCTTCAGCAGGTTGTTTTCCTGCTCCAGCTGAGAGTTTCTCTCAATCAGTTCCTTAATCTGTTCTTTCAACACCTCCACCTCTTCACGGACAGCGTACATCAAGTGACTCTTCACCAGATCCTGAAAGCGGACAACAGTGTTATTTTCAAACCTTATTTTTTTGTTTATTCAAAGCAAAACATCTGTGTATTGGATTCATTTTAGAACATGTATCATATGGACCATAAAGGGTCACATAAGGGTCAATTTTTGGAAATTGAGATGTATACATCATCTGAAAGCTGAATAAATAAGCTTTCCATTGATGTATGGTTTGTTAGGACAGGACAATATTTGGCTGAGATACAACTATTTGAAAATCTGGAATGTGAGGGTGCAAAAAATAAAAATAATGAGAAAATTGCCTTTAAAGTTGTTAAATGAAGTTCTTAGCAATGCATATTACTAATCAAAGTAATGATATATTTTAATCTATTTACGGTAGGAAATTTACAGAATATCTTCATGGAACACGATCTTTACTTAATATCCTAATGAGTTTTGGCATAAAAGAAAAATCGACAATTTGGACCCATACAATGTATTTTCCGCTATTGCTACAAATATACCTGTGCTACTTATGACTGGTTTTGTGCTCCAGGGTCAGGTATTGTGCAAAAACACCAATCTACTGTGAGATGCAGCGCTCACCATTTGAAGTAAAGCCTTGAAAGGCTCTAACCTGCATCCTCCTACTCGATACCCACAATCCCTCCCTCCCTTTATGCCGTCAACAAACCAACAAAATGGCCGTCCCACAGCGCGTCAGGCCAATCAGAAGCCGAGATATTTTTAACTAGGTGTAAAAGCTTTGGGGTTTGCCTAGCAACAGTAACAAGGCGCACAGATCGCGTGAGTACGCAGGCAAAGCCCCAGGCAAGTCGGCAAACAAACACCAAACGCTTCGCTCGTTTTCTTATTAGCTTTTTACTTTCAACTAAACTCAGACTAGCGCGAATGAACAATGAAAGCGGCAAAACATCGACGCTGTCACAATGACAGAGCAACAATCATTTGATAATGATTACATAATTCATTCCAGCGACACTGATGCAACTCGAAAGCCTGCTTACGGCATGTAAACAAAATATCTGTTCGGATATGCAATGTTTATGATGGGAAAGGCAGGAAGACTTACCATCGCTTGTTCAATTTTGTTGTCTATGGCCACAACACTGGCACCCGATGAGCTGTGGGGGAAAGAGAGAGAGAATCGTTACTTCACTGCTTAAATACACCAGCAACACACAAGAAACCATGGCAACGTCAACAAAATATCGTCACAAACACATGAAATATCGAAAATCATTGTGTAATAGTCCACACAACTATGGATTTTCTATGGAAATCTCTAGAACACGTCAAACTCTGCGTCTATTCATTCAGAAAGGTACGTTTTATACATTCAAAGCTACCTTCAGCATCATCTTTGAGTGAACTGAAAGAGCAGGCAAGCTGCTTACAGCTTAGGCTTTTTACCACAAACCAGCGTTAAAAACGTCCAGTTATGATATTAAATGACCCAAACTCTCCAAAACAGCGTATTTTCGCGTTCAACGCTTATATTTTGCACAGAACGCAGGCTCTCATGCATGAGCTTTAGCTTATTGACGGTTTATTACGAACACAAGTCTGACATTTTACCTATTGTCGAGCTTGACGGACGAAGTCTCAGTCCCCAACAACGACGAGAGGAAAGATATTGAGAAATTTCTAATCTGACAAACACCAAGATCCATCGCCACGGAATAGCATGGAGAATTCATGCTATTGCGTCCATAAGAAATCGCTCAGGGAAGCGAACGCGTGTCCTTCCTACAGCCTCTGGAGCATTACATCCTTTGTGTGCGTTTGCAGGAATATTGTGCCGTGACTCCCCAGCAGAAAACCTCGCTTTATCAGGAGACCGTACATCCAGTGCCGCAGCACAAAGAAACTCCAAGGTCAGCTCATCTCTGCGCTGGTGAATATCTGCAGCCTGTGCTATTTGCATAATTTATTTCACGCCAGCGCTGCTCGGCGCGCTATTGGCGGAGAGCGAGATGCATTTAACTAATCTATGCAGCCACGCCCCCATTTGACGCTCTTCCGACTCGCTCTGGATAATTTATTCAAACTCGACTTGCCTTATAAGACAATCCGGTTGGAGCGAGTTGATGTTATTTCCATCAAACGTCTCAAGGCACCAACAGCTTTTAACAGCCCATTTCTATTACTCGGCATCTATATTTTACCACAGAATCCAAGCAGGAATAATAACCGCTTCTTCATGTTATTGCAAAACCTTATGTGAAAAAAAATACAACTTCCACCAAAAATGTTTTCCAGTCTGTTTTGTTTTACTATATACACGGGCAAAACATTATTTGAAGGGGAATGCCTTTAAACACAGTGTTTACATGTCGCCGCTTATCGGCAAACAGCGGAACTGCAGTGGAGTGGATCCCTAAAACAGGCGAGTTTTAACCTTTAAAACATGCAAGGAGTCCCAACAGGACCACCAGCCATCTCAGGCACTCCCGATTATATATAAAAAAAAAGGATACCATTTTAGTCTTGAAACTACATAACTTTAATTATTCACTTCATAAAAAGTAATACATGTTAAAGGAAAAATAGTCATCTTTTGTATTACACGGAAAAAGTCAAAATAATTCAGTATATTCCAGATTAAATTCATTTTATTTATTTATTGTTATCTTTAAATACTAACGTTTGAACTAGAAATGTAACGGATTATTAATGCACCCCATTTAGCAATACATTTTGAAAATTATTTGTACACTTGTTTTCTGTGTTCATGGCCCTCCAGAGGTATGTGGAGCCGTGACTGAAAGCTCAGATCCTAAAGCAGAAAGCATCTCCAGCATGTTTAGATGAAACTCAGTCCCCTATGATTTAGGTGCAGCTAACTAATCTCATGTGAGCTTTAATTAATGTGTTTAACTACACATCAGCGTGCTTCATATTATTTGAGCATGCACATGTGTTTGGTTTGCAAGGCTCAAGAGTACAGAAGAGAAATGATCACACTAAACTCAAGCACACATATTCAACACGACCTCAACGTGTCAATAACAAAACTTATTGACGGTTTATTACGAACACAAGTCTGACATTTTACCTATTGTCGAGCTTGACGGACGAAGTCTCAGTCCCCAACAACGACGAGAGGAAAGATATTGAGAAATTTCTAAGCTGACAAACACCAAGATCCATCGCCACGGAATAGCATGGAGAATTCATGCTATTGCGTCCATAAGAAATCGCTCAGGGAAGCGAACGCGTGTCCTTCCTACAGCCTCTGGAGCATTACATCCTTTGTGTGCGTTTGCAGGAACACTGTGCCGTGACTCCCCAGCAGAAAAGCTCGCTTTATCAGGAGACCGTACATCCACTGCCGCAGCACAAAGAAACTCCAAGGTCAGCTCATCTCTGCGCTGGTGAATATCTGCAGCCTGTGCTATTTGCATAATTTATTTCACGCCAGCGCTGCTCGGCGCGCTATTGGCGGAGAGCGAGATGCATTTAACTAATCTATGCAGCCACGCCCCCATTTGACGCTCTTCCGACTCGCTCTGGATAATTTATTCAAACTCGACTTGCCTTATAAGACAATCCGGTTGGAGCGAGTTGATGTTATTTCCATCAAAAGTCTCAAGGCACCAACAGCTTTTAACAGCCCATTTCTATTACTCGGCATCTATATTTTACCACAGAATCCAAGCAGGAATAATAACCGCTTCTTCATGTTATTGCAAAACCTTATGTGAAAAAAAATACAACTTCCACCAAAAATGTTTTCCAGTCTGTTTTGTTTTACTATATACACGGGCAAAACATTATTTGAAGGGGAATGCCTTTAAACACAGTGTTTACATGTCGCCGCTTATCGGCAAACAGCGGAACTGCAGTGGAGTGGATCCCTAAAACAGGCGAGTTTTAACCTTTAAAACATGCAAGGAGTCCCAACAGGACCACCAGCCATCTCAGGCACTCCCGATTATATATAAAAAAAAAGGATACCATTTTAGTCTTGAAACTACATAACTTTAATTATTCACTTCATAAAAAGTAATACATGTTAAAGGAAAAATAGTCATCTTTTGTATTACACGGAAAAAGTCAAAATAATTCAGTATATTCCAGATTAAATTCATTTTATTTATTTATTGTTATCTTTAAATACTAACGTTTGAACTAGAAATGTAACGGATTATTAATGCACCCCATTTAGCAATACATTTTGAAAATTATTTGTACACTTGTTTTCTGTGTTCATGGCCCTCCAGAGGTATGTGGAGCCGTGACTGAAAGCTCAGATCCTAAAGCAGAAAGCATCTCCAGCATGTTTAGATGAAACTCAGTCCCCTATGATTTAGGTGCAGCTAACTAATCTCATGTGAGCTTTAATTAATGTGTTTAACTACACATCAGCGTGCTTCATATTATTTGAGCATGCACATGTGTTTGGTTTGCAAGGCTCAAGAGTACAGAAGAGAAATGATCACACTAAACTCAAGCACACTTATTCAACATGACAATTATATCTCTCAATCTATGGTGATGAAACTATAGTATATCTCAAAATGAAATCTTGAGATGTGTAATATTCCATAATTTGCATATAAAATGTGAATATTTCACAGAACACGGTTGCGTCAGCTTTGTTGTTTCAACATAATGTCGCCTTGAGTCATGATTGTGGTTAGGTAGGTTTCCACATAATTTCGATCCTGTTGTAAAGGGGTGTACCCAACATGCCAATCCATAATAAAGGTGGTGCAACACCCACCCGGTAAACGCAGAGGAATGCTTCATTACTAGGGCTGCCCTCGACTAAAGATTTTTCTGGTCGACTAGTAGTCGTTCATTTTAAGCATTAGTCGACTATTAATCACACTTTTATTAATAAACCATATAAATCATAATAATGAGCCTTTAATTGCCTACATAGCCTAATAAGCGCTCAAGCGCACGCAAAAAAGACGGCAGAAAGCGCATCCTGTTTGCTTTCATTATTTTACAAAAGCACAACGTTTCGTTGTTATTCTGAGTGCACACAAATAAACGTAGAGTCTTTACACATACGAAAAATGCATTACTCTTATCTGCATGACCAAAAATGACTAAGTATTTTAAGAGCAAATGATCGCACTGCTGTTCAGCTTTCACACTCCGCACAAACACGTGAACAGCGCAATTTTTTCTAGGCTAACATTAGATTGAGCTGCCATGTAAAGTTGCTACTACATACATATTTCAGACGATAAGCCATATTTGAGGTCGATGAATGTTAGGTGAAAAGCGTTTTATGTCT